TGATCAAGTTTGATAACGTTTACCTAAAGACTTTATCTCTATTAATCAGGAAAACGTTTTAGATATATTTATATATGTATTTATTCATTTATCTAGACTTTTTGTAGACATGCAGAAATGCAATATATTTGCAAACAAAATCCATAATCAAGAAAGAGAAGTTAAATATATACTAATTAAGCATATTTCAATTTGATAATATTTTTCTGTTGGTAGTACTACCTCTCTTGTCGATATTCATTGCTTCCTAGCAGATACAGAGAGAGAGAGAAAGAGAGAGAGAGAGAGAGAGAGAGAGAGAGAGAAAGAGAAAGAGAAAGAGAAAGAGAAAGAGAAAGAGAAAGAGAAAGAGAGAGAGAGAGAGAGAGAGAGAGAGAGAGAGAGAGAGAGAGAGAGAGAGAGAGAGAGAGAGAAAGTGAAAAGCATACAAATCCGCGATCTTTATTACAATTTAACTTTGAAATATCATATGATATTTCACAGTAACCTCCTCATCAGAGAAAATGGGCAGAATTAAAAGGAAAACGGGGAAGCACAGTGTTGAGAACCTGCTATGATACTTTTCCACGTTTCATCAACATCCATCTATTATCTATACCTATCTATTTATATCTATTTATCTATACCTATCTATTTATATCTATTTATCTATACCTATCTATTTATCTATATTTATCTATATCAGTTTATTTATCTATCTAGATATACCTATTGATATTTATCTATCTATATTTATCTATATCTATTTACCTATATCTACCTATTTATCTTTATCTATATGTAATCTATCTTTCTATTTATCTATACATATATATCTTTATATATATTTTATCTATATCTATATCTATCTATCTATCTATCTATCTATATATATATATGAGTGTGTGTGTGTGTGATAATCATAACTGTGATGATAGCAGCATGACTCCGGTCGAACTGTTTCTTCTGTTGTATTTAACCTGTATATACATATATATACATATGAATACAACTATACGTGTATGTGTATATTCTCTATATAGATATATATTATATAGATATATATTCTATATAGAGAATATACACATACACGTATAGTTGTATTCATATGTATATATATGTATATATACATATATGTGAATGTCTGTATTTGAATGTGCATGTCTGAACATGTTTTTATATGTATTTGTGTGAGAGTCCTGAATTAACCAGTAAGCACTATGAAGTACCGGCACGAGAACTGTATTCATGAAAGGGGTCTAGCGGTACATTCTAACAATTGTACCACTTGCGCTTTGTATCATTACACCCAATCAATCATCCGTAAGCTCTCTGTGGCCCTTGGCGTCATTTGACACCTCAGACCCTGATGAGGCACCCTTGGAAGGGCCAAAGAGGCACTGATGGAATGACTGAAGTGGCACCGGTTGATAGGCCCAAGTGAAACCACCGGGATGGCAGTGAAATCAAACAAACGTGTTACATGAATAAGTTGTAAACACGAAAAAAACTTGAAAAAGCACTTTAAATATTCTCTATTGGTGGGTAGTTACGTAAAGCAGTGTAAGGGTTAGATTTACCTACTTAGGAGCCCCAGGTCAAACTCAGCAGTGGGCTTGATGATGAATTTGAACACTTTCCACCATTTACCTTTCACTCTCACCCACTCTCTCTTCCCTCTTCCCCCTCTCCCTCGCTTTCTCTCTAATCCCCTCGTTGATGTGGCGGAAGAATATTCCCTGAGAGTATTACGTACTCTGGCTTGTCATTGCATAAATAGTTTGTGGAAATTGTAAAAACAAAGAGTTGCTGCACGTGTCTCTGTATTGACATTTTCGTAGCACCATAGTGGGTTGTTTACATTTCGTAGAAATTTAGGCAGTCAAGATGGCGTACACAAAATAAAATATAATAATTCTTACATAACTTTAAAAAATATAAATTCACCTTAGCCTAGGTTACATGAGGTAATTAAATGAGGTATAAATCTATAACGAGGTAAAGTATTCTTACCCTATTAACATTTTAATTACTTTAACACTACCTCTTAATTAAAGATGGGTTGTGATCTGAAATTATCCTTCATAATCTTAAAAGCTTTTAGCTTCTGGGCTAGAAGTTTGTAAGTAAATATGTATATATCACCATTCAAAGTTTTAACAACTACTTTGTGTTTTACAATTTTGTTCTGTCCAGCCACATCCAGTACAGCACGAACTGTCGGGATCTTGCTGTTGGTGCGAAAGTTTCTCTGTAGTTGATGTCCTTTTGACATATCTTGCTTAGAATTTTCTTTGCTGTTCGGTCTAGGTTTTACTTGTAAGATTCGGGCAGTGTCGTGTTCATTGGTATCATTATCCTGAGGAGAGATTTCTTCATCCGTTGCTTTCTTCCACTTGGGGTTCCTCAGGAGATGCTATAGCTTCTCGGTAGGTGACTGGTACTGGGATATGCGACAATTGGTAGCAATGAAGCATAAAAGCTATTATGTGTCACACTGGAGGTACTGTCGTCCTTTTCATGTCAAGTCGCGAGAGTCTCCACCTTTCTCTATCTGGGTATCATTTCTCTTCCCTTGCCTTTTGTCTCATCTTGGGTCACTTAAGGTGTTTTTTGATGAAGTTTCGTCTTCACCAAGATGTTACCTTCATCTGAGGTTTACTTATTGCTTGATGGTTCAGTTACATGGGGTATATTATTCATAAACTTGACACATCTTACTTCCTTACTGTCTAAGAGGCTTGGAAATAAATCAAATAGGCTAGACTGGTTATCATACACACAAGGACTCCTTTCTTACTCCTAGAATCGTCTCTTCTCTTGTTCTTATGCAAAGGATCTTGTTTTATAGATGTTCATTCTGCTGATGTGTGGCGTGCAACCACTGTCAATCATGATCAAACCTTCATCTGCTTCTAAAATTAATACACTGTGTTTTCCAATGTCACACAACTCAGGTCCCTTCAGCAATTTATAATTTTGTTCCTTGTCATTTGCAAAATTTACCGAGTTATTAATCCTGATCTTTGTTCTCTGCAATCACTAAAACTGTGAGTTTTAGAATTACGAAATTCACCACTTCCTATAATTCTGAAGGTTCTTTAATCTCTAAAATTCACCACCTCTGCTGCATTTTGCTGCAAAATGGCCTGGTTCACCACACTTAAAACATCTCTTCTGCTTCACTGAACTGTTATCATGGGTAAACTTTCTTCTCACTGTATCAGAATATCCTCTGAGGCGATCTTCATGACGCAACAAGGCTATTTTCAGTTCCCAGTATTAATATGGAGGGCTACGAAGATCAACTACTTCTACAAAACGTGCGTATTTCTGTGAAAGTCCGTTCAGTGTGATTACCACTAAGATACGATCACTAACGCTCTCACCTGATTCTCTGAGTGCAGCTACTGTGTCCTCTATAGACGATAAATACACTGTAACACTGTCATCCCCTTGTCTCTTGTTTATGAATGACTCCCATAGAGCATACAACCTCCTGTTCATATAATCCGTGTAATGTTTTCGTAGCACTGCCAAAGCTTTAACGCCATCTCCCCTGGTTTCACTTTTTGTCATGCCAAGTGACATTCTGCCAAGACAACCTGTCAAGTGACAATAGATTGTCATTTTAGCATCCTCTAGATCATAACCATCGGGGCGTCTTGCAGCATACTTATCAAGGACGAGATGTAGTTTCATGATATAGAGAGCTCCGAGGAAATGTTCTTCCCACAAGTTATAATGATCATAATTACCATCAAACTCCTTGATCATGGGCCAATAACTAGACTCTCGAAGGACGTCTTTATGTTTACGTTACATTAAGAAAAAATAGTTTGTTTAAATAGCATTAATTACTACATGAGTATTTTTTATCAATCTTATAGTTGGAACTAATGCAAATTTATTTTAGAAAACATACAACACTAAGCAAGATTTTAAGATAGACAACGTAAATGTTTTAGGAAACTGAGATATCAAAAGTAAAGTAAAAACATTTCAAAAGCAAAACCAGATATGTTTACTCAATCATTTTCAGTATCACAATTTTCCAGTGGAAAACGGCGGTTCAACATTGTTTCATTTTTCTCACCAGATTATAGCTTGTCCATTCACACACACACACACACACACACACACACACACACACACACACACACACACACACACACACACACACACACACACACACACACACACACACACACACACACACACACACAGCCCAGAGAGAGAGAGAGAGAGAGAGAGAGAGAGAGGAGAGAGAGAGAGAGAGAGAGAGAGAGAGAGTGTTTATGTGTGTGTGTGTGTGTGTGTGTGTGTGTGTGTGTGTGTGTGTGTGTGTGTGTGTGTGTGTGTGTGTGTGTGTGTGTGTGTGTGTGTGTGTGTGTGTGTGTGTGTGAATGGACAAGCTATAATCTAGTGAGAAAATGAAACAATCTTGAACAGCCGTTTCCACTAGAAAATTGTGATAATGAAAATAATTGAGTAAATATATCTGGTTTTGCTTTTGAAATGTTTTTACTTTACTCTTAACATCTCATTTTCCTGAAATATTTACGTTGTCTATCTTAAAGTCTTCCTTAGTGCTGTAAATAAATTTGCATTAGTTCCAGCTATAAGATTGATAAAAATACTCGATCATGTAGTAATTAATGCTATTTAAACAAACTATTTTTCTTAATGAAACGTAAACTTGAAGACATCCTTCGGGTTTATAAGAAGTATGGGTTTTTATTTTCACGGTTATTGAATGATAACTATTTAATCAGTTATTATTATTACTCTCTCTTGCTAAGTTCGAAACGTGAACAGCCAACTACGGCTTCATATTATATATCCTCTTAACCATATTACTCCCCCACTAAAGCTAACTTCAAAGTACAAGAAATACAAAAATGATGCTTCAGATTTAATTCTTAACATCCTACTATTTTGAAATGCATAAAAAATAATTAAAAGAAAGCAAACCCCGCCATAACCCAGCGATCCGAACATGTTCTAGGAGTTTGGCTGGGAATGGCGTCTTCGGAGGAGCTCGGAGACACACTCGACGTCGATGTCGTGGGCCTGGTGGACTTGGACTTTAAGTGAGTCTTTTCATTTTATCATTTCTGAGTAGAGGAATGTTTTGTGCGTGTTCTACAACTCCTAGATTAGGCGTTCCTTCCGGAGTTGACGTGAAATGTGTACTATTTTGGCAGGCAGGAAAGTCGACTGGACAGAATCATGTCGATGGAAAGTTTGTTATTGTCAGTTTTTTTATATTTTGTTCAGTAATTTCTCGTTTGCTTAAATAGGTATTGAATTTCTTTTGAAATTCATTGTCCACGTAACTGGTTAACCGGTAATGACAGAAGTCATAATGATTCCTAATACCATAAGAAAGCAATTATATATAGGGACATATTTATACGTACTGCAAAAAAGTGAACATGCAAATGGAATGTAAAATACTCTCAAACACCTATAAGGAACCAAACTTTGTTAACGGACTGTCACACGTGTATAACATTTCTGCACTTATTGGAATTAGCAAAACTGACATGATAATATTGAGGAGCCTTAAAGTCAGTCACCTAGGCTAAACACAGGAACATTTCTGACCATCGTAAAGAAAGCTTTTCGTAGAACTTCTTGCTGTTGGCCAATATAGAGAATTAATCCTCTTCATTAAGGAAATATTTCAAAAAATTAAGCAGACCAATCTACGTTTTCTCTGTTTGTATATGCATTATGTGATGGCAGTTCTACTTGCAATAGAGAGTATTGATCTTGGGTTATCAAAGGATTTGAAGGACATCATGATAGTAGAGGGTGCTGTGTTTGGTATATTTTAGTATCCCACAACCATGTAGTATTAGGTTAAATTTGCCTGTAATGGATAGAATGATCAAAAATAAGACACTTCATCATGGCTTTTACTTTCGCAAGTTCATAGTAAGAAAGTTGCGCATCATGAAATACTTTGTTATGAATTTACAGGAAAACAAAATGACATCAATATCAAATGGAAAAACTACACCCTCTTATACATAAAATAATCTTTATAGACAGAAAATAACGTGAAAAATTAGGAAAATATGTTGTGACAAATGCCTCTCAGAGAGTATGTCCACGGAGATTATGTGAGGGTCCAGGGGCTGTGTCATGACAGGGAAGTTTTGCGATTGTATGGGGGTCTAGGGGCAAAGCCCCTGTTTATGAAGGTTTTTACTTCATATAGCAGTTTCTGAATTTCCCAGAAATGGCTGGAGTAATAGGGAGTTATCTCAGAGTGGTAAGTTCATTTCATAAACATTACCAATACTTCAATTTATTTTATTTGTGCTGGAATATAACAAGATGTTCATGCATATTATAGCCTTGGTAAATGAAAGAGGGGATGATAATTGCAAGATTAGAGGGCTGTGTGAAACAAAAGGAAGTGACCACAGGTATGGCAGAAAGCCCTTGATTGGTGTCCTTTGCACGTTTGCTGAAACAAACAAAATGGCAGCCTCTTGACACGAAAAGATGATACCACTCTCAATTAGGCTAGGTTAGCTTCATACTTATTATCTTGAAAAGACATTTATATTTGCTCATGCATATGTGTGCCATGTGCCTATCCATGAGAGATTGGATATGGGTGCCTTATATGAAACCTCTGCCAACAAATAAATTTGCTCGAGTTCTTAAAATAGGGTAGATAAAAAATGAAAAATAGTGAATTTTCAGAAATGAAAAGGTAGACAAACCCTAGCCATTGCAGGAACACAAAGCATGAAGATTGCAGTATCTCTGGATATGCAGATCTTAAGTTTTTGAAATAAATAATTAGGCATATTTCCATTTTGCACAGATTACATTTCTTACCTAATATTGTTGCTCTATAAATTCTATAAAAAATATTGTGTTTTTTTGCCAACCCTTCATAGTTTTATTTTGGAGGAATACTAACAGTTCATATCCATATAATAACAAAATAAGAAAATGTTTCCGGTTAATCTTTATGGTATGGACGTACTAAACTGGCGCAAATTGAAGATGATATTCTTGTAGACAACAAGAAATAATCTGCAGACATGAATGGTAACACCACAGATATGGGGAAAAAATTGTCTAAAGTGCTGCCTTCAGCGTAAGTCCCCTTGGTGCTCCAGAGTTTCAGCCCTTTTTTGCTGTGCATACTGAGGTGCAGGGAGTGTTAGGGGGCAGAGCCTCCCCCATCAACCTTACCCTCAGGCAGTGCCCAAAGGGCAAGCGATGGGTAAAACTTCAATTAAAGATTAGCAAAGATGGAGTGTGTTAGCACAAGCTGTTTTGTTCCGACTAGTGTGTGGTGTCAGTGAACTTTTTGCCATATAATAAAATGTAATCCAGCATGAAAAGAACGTTGACTAAAACATTTCTTAGCATTTATATCGCTGCCTACACAAGTACATTTAGGGTATAGTGATTGAAAGAAACTTTTGTAGGAGAAAATACTTAATTGATATTGAAGAGAAACAGAAATGAAGTTGCTCAGACATAGAAAAGAAAAACAAAGGTCATACAGGTGCCATAGTCCTGTAATAGATCACTAAATGCATTCACATATTCCTAGGATTGCACTGTACTCACCGCTTTCAGCCATCTCAGCTATAAGATTTGGCAGATTATTGAGTCAGAGTTGGAGCAAAAAGGAACTGGCACGTCTGCCACATCATCCCGCGGTATAGTATGCTCGTTCTTCAGTGGATGTTTTTGTGTTTTGAGCAATGTTGACAGTGAATATACTAACAACAAAAAAAGAACACATGCAACACTATTACATATAGAAAATAGTCAGTCGAAAATTAGGCAACAGAGAGCTTGTAAACCTCCCTTGCAATTTTTAAAAATTAGTAAACCATCCAAGATCAGTCATGTGAGATACATGGAGGTTATTCAGTGGCCGTTGCCAAAGTGCCAAAGGAGTGGAGGTCATGGTGATGAGTAGATAAGGTCGCAAGTTCAAGATTTATCAAAGAAACGTGTTTTGGTTATGGTTATTAGGAAGAGGAATTTCGTTGCAAAATTGTAGTTATAATTTTGTTGATATTTTTAGAGTTACAACTGTGTTTTGAAGTTTTCTGGGGGGAAGAAGAGTAGATTGAAGACAAGAAGAGAATTTTTATTTTTTTTTTTCTATTCATTATTTTTTTGTTCTTTTATCATCATCAATCATCTTCATCATCATCATTTTTCTTCTTATGATTATGATTGTCATTTTTATCATTGTTAATATCATTGTTGTTGTAGTTTTTGTTATTATGATAATGGAACTAATAGATAATAATAATGATTATTATAATAAGTAATAATGATATTGATAATGATGATTATCAGTATTATTTATTATTATTATGTTATTGTTTGTTATTATTATTTTTATTATTTTATTGTTATTGTTATTATTATAATTTTTGTTATTGTTTTTGTTTATTTTTTTTTGTTATTTTATTTTTATTATTAATATTATTATTATTATATTATTGTTATATTTTATTATTGTTATTATTATTATTATTATTATTATTATTATTATTATATTATTATTATTATTATTATTATTATTATTATTATTATTATTATTATTATTATTATTATTATTATTATTATTATTATTATTATTATTATTATTATTATTATTATGATATATATGATATAGTGATAATGATAGTAGTAATGCTATTACAATAAGCATGATAGAAATGTTTAATGATAGATGATGGTAGATACTAATGATTTTTTGAAATGACTATTACAGTAGATGGAAAATTGTGTATCATGCTTTATTGTCCTAAACCTGTTTCAAAATCTTCTTGTGGTAAAATTTTTCATAACAAGTAATCTTAGAAAATATTATTTACAAGGTGCTCTAAGTATCTTATTAATATATAAACAGTTTTGATATATGCTACATATCTCATTACAGGAGCGAACCTGATTTTTTCGACTTCGACTCTGAGGGAGAGTTTGGGCTTTTTGGGGAAGCGGGTGTTGCTCTGCACACCACGGCAACCACAACCCACACAGGCCAACCGACGACCACCAACAGCCACAAAACACCATCGAGCCTTGTAGGGACAAGCACTAGTACCACGCAGCAACAGAGTTCTGGGTCTCCAAATGGCAAGCGGTCTTCGCATAACCGGAAGCGGAAGAGCCACTGGAATGAGATCGAGAAGGATCTTTTTATCAAAGGCATGGTGAGGGCAGAGCTATGGGTTTCGTAGTCTTGCTGGCGCTTTATTAGATTTTTAAATTATTGTAGAGTCGTTTCTGTTTGTACGTATGAATGTTTGAGAAATGTTATTGCCCCCTTAGATGCTATCATATTAAAAGATTTATTATTTATATTGTTATTGTATAGATTTAAGTATACTTTGATTACTTTTAAGAAATTGTGAAATACCTTTTTTCATGAAAATGTATCAATTCTTTTTGAGAAGTGCCACATTAATGTAAGTAGGTTTATAATACAGTCTTAGTCACTTGAGAGACGATAATGATTACCCCTAATGTGCAGCGTGAAATTTATGTTACTAACTAGCTGATGCCGATTGTGTTATGGAAAGTCGGTTTAAATAACTAGCCAACTTTTAGACTAGCAAACCAAGTATAGAACAGGAACATATTTAGTTATATATTATGGATATAACATCTGTCTAGTGAGTTTATCAAGAATAGGAAAACTTATTTTATGTATAATTTTAATATTGATTTTTAATTCAGAACTATGAAAGAGGATATTATAGGTTGCATTTGATGATATTACAAATAAAACGGGAAAAGTATGTAATGCAATGGCAAAGAAATATTTTTCAGTTAAAATAGAAAACCAAACTGCTGGAGGTTTCTTAGACATGTTACTTGTTCAGTGTTTTTTGTGGCTGATGGAAGAGACCACACTGACCATCCTTTTTTTCTGATTACAGGAACTCTTTGGACCCAACTGGAATAGAATCTCAAACTTCATAGCCACCAAGACTGCAGGACAAGTGCGTAGCTTCCACAAAAAATGGGCAGAGACTGTGAATGTAATTCAAGAATCAGAGAGCTTAGAGCATTCCTATGTTTTAATGCCCGTTGATCCTGGTTGCATTACAACAGACCTGGAGGACCCACTGGGACTCATTGAGACAGCAACTACCACTGTTACAACCACCCCCCTGTCACCAAAGAGAAGCAGGAATGCACTCGGAGAAAGCAAAAAGACTCTTGGTATTGATGATGACGCTCAGGATTTCCATTCGTCCGTTGAGGTTTTTGTTCCCTCTGTGGGTGAGGAGTGGGTGATTGAAACCGATGGAATGCAGACCTGCATTGAGAATGTTGCCAGCTCCCCCAAAAAGTCTCCAGAGAAGAGGAAGAAAGAAAACCACAAGAAAATCAAGAGGAAAAAGAACAGTTCTCCCGTCTCTCAGCTGCCGTTCAAGATGAAGTCACCTCAGAGACCGAAAAAGAAGACTAAAAAACTCAAGCTCACTATTGGACTGAACGGGTTGAATCAGGAGGTTATTAGTCAGCAAGTAAAGTCACCAACAAAAGAGAATGAGAGCCTTTCGAAGAAAAGTCCAGCACCGTTCATGGAGGGTCAGGTTGTTCATATAGTGAAAGATGACATGGAAGAAAGCGATGTTGATATTGATGTAAGTGATGACGAACAGCTGATGATTGTTGATAAGGCACCAAGTACCTCAGTGGCTCAGCAAGATACTAAAGAAAATACCAGTGACGAAGTAGTGGAAACTGTGGAAAGTAAGAGTATCCAACCTGTCAAAGAAGGCTATGGCTCAGAAAGTAGGAAACAGTTGGTGTTCAATTTTTCGCCTCCAGCTCAAGAGTATGAAATGGATATGAACACCATTACTGAAGAAGAAAAGAAAGTTCATTTTGAGTATTTTGATAGTAGAGGTGTCAAGACGCCTGAGAGGTATTTAAAGATTCGGAACTACTTACTGGGTTTTTGGAAGCAGGTGAGACCAAAGTATGTTAGAAAAACAGCAGTACGTGCAGGTCTGAAGAACTGTGGTGATGTGAATTCCATTGGGAAAGTGCACGAGTACCTTGAGAAAATTGGAGCAATAAATTTTGGGTGTCCAGAGAGTAATTATAGTACTCCCTTAATTGTTGGAGTGAAACAGAAAGAAAAGGTAGCAGTTCCGAGCAAACCGGTGGCCAAAGTAGATAGATCGGAAGTGACACGCCAGAAACAGAAAAAGAAGTGGGATGTTTCCATGAGCGAAGGAGGAGGCCTCACAATCAGCCATGATGAGTCGGGAGCCATTGTCGATGCCTGTCATATCCCTGAGGCTCCTCGGAATAGAGCTGGCCTAGGGGCAGGGAGGAGTGGAGGCAGGCTGGAGCAGTTCAAGCTCGTCCGCTGTCTGGAACATGACCCGGATACCCCGGCTCCATTCTCTGTTGTCATGCATGCTCATGCACTTATTACTCTTGATATTCATGCTCACACTTCCTTGGCAGAGGTAATGGGTTTGCTAGGTGGGTATTATGATCCAGCTGCCCATACATTGCATGTGACAGTTGCAGTACCGACGAAGGCTGTGAGCTCTGGTGTGGAATGCGACATGTGTCCTGTGTCTCAGAGTGCAGCCTGCACTGCCATACATGAAGGTGGAGTTCAAGTTGTAGGCTGGTATCACTCCCACCCGACCTTCCCACCCAACCCGTCGGTGCAGGATGTAGAAACCCAGTCTCAGATGCAGCAGTGGTTCGCCCGCCAAGACGCGCCTTTCCTTGGCATTATTGTGAGTCCCTATTGCCCTACCAACCGGAGCGAGGCTTCTCAGATCAGATGTATTGTGTTAGACAAGCCGCCCCACGAGAATACCGGTAACGCAGAAGGAGGAGCAGCAGCACCACCGTCCGGGACGCCGTACAAGCTCTCCTGGTCTGTCAGCGAGGTCATTCCGGGGGCATGGGGGGAAGTGTGTCAGGGCATCAGGCTAGTGGTGGGCGGCGCGAGAGAGGATGGCATGGCTGTGGAGTGGCGAGGGGAGTGGCGGGGACAAGTGACCAACTGGGAGAAGGCGATAGCGTCTCTCAAACATCATCTACCTCCTCATCTGTACGGGCCGCTGCAGGCTGTGCGCACGACCTTCCTTGCTGCTGTGAGAGAATATATGGATAGCTAGTTTTGTGATTGGCGGTGTGAGTCGTGTCTGTTCTTGATTATGCGATGGCTTCGTTATATATAAGATGATGGCATAGTTCATATCTTCCATGCGATTTGTTACGGGAGAGTCAACAGGAGTTACCAATTACAGTATGTGATGCAATGTATGCTTACATTCGAAGGGAATTGTTAAATGTCACTTCGTTCTAGAAGTAAGCTTTAAGTTTGTATATACTGAATTTTATGTACCTGATATTGTCAATAAATATAATAGTAAACAGTTA